GTGATAGCTGTCATATCACTGTACATTTTTTAAGTATCAAAATTGGTAATTTTTGTGTAGCCATTTTAATATTGAAGATGGAAGAAAATATGCAACACTTTCATAGCCTATTTTCAAGCATATTATGTTTTATTATTTCAAGAAAGGTAAAAATGCAACTTAATCGCAAAAAAAAAGATTTGTGCAGTGAGAAAGTGCTGTGACTGATCAAACAGGTCAAAAGTGGTTTGCAAAGGTCCATGCTGGAGATTTCTCCCTGTACGATGCTCCAGGGTCAGGTAGACCAGTTGAAATAGATAGCGATCAAATCAAGACATGAATTGAGAAAGATCAACGTTATACTGTACAGGAGATAGCCAACATACTCAAAATATCCAAATCAATAAAGTTATTGGTGAAAATGAAAAATGTAGTTTTTATTTTATGGAAAAAATGAAATGGACTTTTGGCCGACCCAATACTAGGACTAATAAATGAACCCTGTAAAGTAGTACAATACAAAATAAATATCCAGAAGTCAGTTGCCATTTCTATACACCAATGAACTATATCAGAAAAGGAAACTAAGAAAACAATCCCATTTACAATTGCATCAAAAAGAAAACAAAATACTTAAGAATAATTTAACCAAGATGTAAAATACCTGTACTCAAAAAACTGTTAAGACACTGAAGCAAGAAACCAAAGAAGATATAAATAAGTGAAAGCATATACCATGTTCAAGAACAGGAAGAATTAACCTTACAGAAATGTCCATACTACCCAAAGTAATCTATAGATTCAATACAATTACTATCAAAATACCAATGGTATATTTCACAGAACTAGAACAAATACTCCAAAAATGTATGTGGAATCACAAAAGATCCCCAATAGCCACAGCAATCTTGAGAAAAAAGAGTAAAATTGGAGGAATCATGCTATCAGTTATCAAACTATACTACAAGGCCACAGTAATCAAAATGGCTTGGTACTCTCATAAAAACAGACGCAAAAATGAATGGAACAGAATAGAGCGCCCAGAAATAAACCCATGCCTCTATAGTCAATTAATGCTTGACAAAGGAGGCAAGAACATACAATAGGGTAAAGATGGTCTATTCAATAAATGGTGTTGGGAAAACTTCAATAAAATGAAACGGCACCACTTTCTTACACTATATACAAGAATAAACTCAAAATCGAGTAAAGACTTCAATGTTACACTTGAAACCATAAAAGTCCTAGAAGAAAACACAGTAAGATCTCAGACATTTCTCATAGCAATATTTTTTCTGATCTATCTCCTTGGGCCAGGGAAACAAAAGAAAAAGTAAACAAATGGGACTATATCAAACTAAAAAGTTTTTGCACAGCAAAGGAAACCATCAACAAAATGAAAAACAGCCCATTGAATGAGAGGATATATTTACCAATGATATATCTGATAAAGAGTTAATACCTAAAGTTTATAAAGAACTCATACAACTCAACACTTAAAAACAAACAATCCAATTTAAAAAATGAGTAAATTACCTGAACAGACACTTCTCCAAAAAGAATATACATATGGCCAATAGACATATGAAAAGATGCTCAACGTCACCAATTATCAGAGAAATGCAAATTAAAATCACAATGAGCCCTGGCTGGGTAGCTCAGTCAGTCACAGCACCACTGTAGTATGTCAAGACCACAGGTTCAATCCCCAGTCAGGGCACGTACAAGAATAAACCAATGAATATACAAATAAGTAGAACAACAAATAGATATTTCTCCCTCTCTCCCTCTCTCGGTCAAATCAATAATTTTTAAAAAACCACAGTGAGATATCACCTACCCTTGTCAAAATGGCTATTATTAATAAATCAACAAACAACAAGTGTTGGCAAGGATTTAGAGAAAAGGGAACACTCACACACTGTTGGTGGGACTGCAGACTGGTTCCAGCCACTTAGGTAAGGAGTATGGAGTTACCTCAAAAAAATTAAAAATAAAACTGCCTTATGACCCAGCAATTCTACTTCTGGGAATATAGCCAAACAAACCTGAAATATTAATTTAAAAGAATATATGAACCCCTATGTTCATTGTAGCATTATTTACAATAGCCAAGATTTGGAAGCAGCCCAAGTGTCCATCAGTAGACAGTAGATAAAACAGCTATGGTACATTTGCACAATGGAATACCATGTGATCATAAAAAAGAAGGAAATATTATTTTTTGCATGAGCATGGATGGACCTGGAGAGTATTATGCTAAGTGAAATAAGCCATTCAGAGAAAGACAAATATCATATGAATTCACTTAGATGCAGAATCTAATGGAACAAAAAAACTAACTAACAAAATAGAAACAGTCTCAGTTACAGAGAACAGACTCACAGCTATCAGAGTGGAGGGGGTTGGGGAACTGGGTGAAAAATGTGAAGGGATTAAACAAAACAAACAAACAAAAATCCCCACAGATTCAAACAACAGTAAGGTGATTACCAGAGGGAAAGGGAGATGGTGGCAGGGCAGGTAGAAGAGGGTGAAGGGAGGGATAAATGGTGATGGAAGAAGTGACTCGGGGTGGTAAACACACAATACAATATACAGATGATGTATTATAGAATTGTACACCTGAAACCTATATAATCTTATTAACCAATGTTACCCCAATAACTTCAATTTAAAAAAAATAATAACGGAAGACCCTCTCATAATTTGGCCCCAACTATACCTTTCCTGTCTCATCACCTCTGCCATACAACAAGCCTACAAGAAATAAGTCAAAATTTTACAAAACCCTATTCAATTTTTAATCTTTGGCAACTGGTTTATGTTCTCCCTTCTGCCTAGAATGCTTGTTTTCCCTTTTACATGTGGTAAAAATTCTACTCAACCATTAGGGCTAAGTTAGTTCCTCTTCTCTTTAAAGTTTTCTTGGACTCTGTCAATTTTTCCCCAGCCAAAGTGAGCCACTCCCTCAGCATTTTATTCATTCCAAAAGTGATTAACTTTTACCATAATAAAACGTGGTTAATGGTTTGTCTCCTCAGACACTTCGTGTCCCAGGAATATACTGTATCTTATTCTTTGTCTTGCCAGTACCCAATACAATGTTTAGCAACAGCCAGCACCCAATAAATATTTGCTGAGTTGTTAAATAATGCAACATTTAGTGTTGTAACTTTTCACATCTTAGGTTAACTTCAACTTCAGGTTTAAATACCATTTGAAAGAATTTTCACTAAACCACAAAAGACATTGTAAAGACCAAAGATTCAATATTTAGCAGGAGCATCTTTAATTTGCTCAAATCTTTTTGTCAATATTTTTGAGTATCCTTCTTCAACTAGCCTCCTTTCCCAGCTAACATTATTTGTATTTTTACAGGATCAGCAGTAACTGCAAACCTCACAGGCCCCTATTAGAGATAATCCCAAGCAAAACTATGTCACTGAGAGTGCCTAGATAATTGCTTTGGGTACATCATTTCAGTAAATTTCCAGTGGAATGGCCCAAGCATATCAGGTATATTTTAGAAATGGGGACATACACTGCTGACTGAACACATAAGACACATGCACATTAGTGAGGCATTTATTCAAGAAGGTAATGGGAATCAGAAGTACACAACAGCCTGATGCTGTCCACTGTTAATATCCTTTCACTTTACATAAGAACAACACTTATTCTTGTGTAAGACTCTACTCAGAGTAGAACAACCCCCATCCCACCAGCAAGTGGACTCTACCTTGCTATCAGTGAGATACTGATAAAGCCTGCCAGAGCCTTAACACTTTCCCTTCCCCATCTACTAAACTTTATCTCTCCAATATTCCCCTATCAGAGACCTCCAATCCTACTCATCCAATGAGTATCTCAATATATCCCCCAAAAGCAAAATCACGCTGTTTACTCAACATCTGATTTCTTATCTCTTCTCTAATTCAAATTTTACACCTCTTTCAAAAACCACCTCAAATCCTACCTTGTCCGAAGGGCTAACTAACTCAGCCCACCACAACTCTTACCTTTTCTAGATCTCTGCTGCATTTAAAGTCCAGCAGTCCACATGGGACCTATTTACATATGACCACATTTGGTTGCATAATTACTTTTATACATATGCTTTATTTCCCTAGCTAGGATATTTGCTCTTAAAGTGACAAAAGCTAGGTCTTCTATGTCATTTGAAATCCCACAATCCTCCTTCCACATGTCACATAACACTGGGCAGAGAGGCACAAGTATTATCTACTTGAAGGACTGAATTAAATGTTTGTTATACACCACTTACACAGCATGATTTATAACAAATATCTAGAGCTTCCCTACTCTGTGGCAAGCCCTTTGTCGGTCCTGAAGAAGCAACCATGACAAAAACATACGTGATTCCTGTCCTAAAATCGATTGTACTCCAGTGAGCAAGAGACAGCGAATTTCAAGTAAGTGCTGCAAAGCAATGTTTTTTTACTGGTTCCAAGATGTAAGAACTTCAGACAACATACTTTACAGATACACAGTTATAAAACTGAATCACAGTATTTTAGAGCTTAATGAAAACCGAGGAGCAATTTTCTTGCACAAATCATTATTAAATTTCAGGATAGTTTATCTTTATACTGGTCCTAGGCATTGCCTTAATCAACAGAAAAGAATGACTTCTTCTCTACCTCCAATTCTGCTTTCTCCCAAGGATGGTAGTAACTACAACCAGCACACTGAGGAGCGCACTGGACTGATTATTCGCTGCACCTTTACACTCAGGCTTGTCCGACCGTCAACACTCTCCAGCCCACACGTTGAACAGCATCTGTATTTTCTATCTAGTAAATAGCAAGCCTGTTCTACGTTTAAGAAAGACCAAAAAACAGTGCCTCCCTCCTGGGAAATGAAACAGCTCATTTGAGTTTACGAGGAGGCACTGAAGATGGATATCCCGTCCCTCAGCCTTAAAATCTGTAGCAATAACTTGATAAAACGCCCAGAGTACACAAAGTTTTAGGTGTGCGTTAAGCACGTGCACATACATGGGAAGTTGGAAACTAGGCAACAGGTAGGCAGCCTCCTATCTCTGACAGATCGCCTTCCTTAGGTCGTGGGTGTGTTCGACGCTGCACGCAGGCACAGATTCACAATTCTCTACACAACAACCGGCTCCTCCTCCCGGCCCAGCCAGGGCAGGGGCACGGAAGGCCCCACCAGTGCCGAACCCGCACCCGGGGACGCCGGTTCCGCCTCCTCTCAGTCTCAGGGAGGATGAGAGGCTGCTCGGGGAATCCCGGCTTCTCCTGATCCGACTCAGTTTGGGAGTCTGGCAAGGCCATCCCGAAGCTCCCAGACACCTACTTCCTACTACAGTCAAAACTACAGTCTTTGCCGGCCCTTCGCGGCCGCATCCCAGAGCGCCTGCGTCCAGCAACTGACCCTCGTCAGCCCCCGTCCTCGAAGGGAGCAACGGAGGGGCGTGGAGTGCCGCGCGCGGGTGAGGTGGGGGCGCGCGTGCCCGCGCCCCGGCCCGCGCAGCAAGTGCGGCCAGGCCCCACCTCCCCTGCGAGGCTCTGACTACTCACCGCGAAAACGTCCTTCTTCGACCTAGCCACGGTCTCTGAAACCTCTTCCGGCTTCTCCTCAACCCCCTCGTAGCCTCCACCCCTTCAACAGCTGCCGCCGCCGTCCTCGCCGCCGCCGCCGCGGCGCGCGTCCTCCCTCACGCACACAGCCGTGACTGCGCACGCGCTTCGGCGCGCTGGCGTCACTTAGCAACCGATCGGCGGCTCGCGGGTGAAATCTGGTTTAGGGTCCAGAGGTCGCCTCAGACGGGATTGGCGGGTTTTCCCCACCAGCGGGACCTGAGGTCCTGCGGAGCTGGGGCGCCCCAGGGTGTAGCTGACCTGCGGGCACCTAGCTCCTGGTGAGTCACGTCACCTCACGTAACTGTATGGCGTCACCGATCTTGTCACTGCAGATGAGAAGGTTCCCATCATCCTCACCAAGAGTTTACAGGGCACCAGTGGTGGAGAGAGTAATGACCTCATCCAGACAGGCGCGGACCCCACAGGCTTCTAATGTTAGGTGCAGGAAGATTCTCAACGGAGTAAAGCCAAACGGGGCTCAGCGCGCGCTTAATGTGCAAGACTGATGAGCCACCCAACCGTGAAGTCCCCTGACACTCAGTTTCCTCATTCTGCCTGTGTTGTGAGCCCGGAAGGAAAGAATGTATGAAAAGGTGCTTTGTAAAGTTCAATTAGAAGGCAGTCGGGCAAGAGCAATTAGGAGCATGGACTTTGGAATCAGATTCAAGTCTGATCCTGACTGATGTTGGATAGTCGGCTATTCTTGACACAGGCAAACTGGGTGACCAAAGTGTAGGAGTTTGGAGAGAGTAACTGGAAAGGCCATAATTCCAGGCAAAGGAAGCTTCATGAGTAAAGGTATGGAAGTGAAAATGGACAGGAAGAGCAGGACTTGAGACAGGGAGATTAGTTTTGAGAGGCCTTTGCTGTACTCCAGGTAAGAAGTGGGAGCGTAACCAAGTCATTTGCAGTGGGAAGGGGGAAATGTGAGCACTGTTAATATGGTAGAATTGACAGCACCGAGTAGGGGATAAATGAGTAGGCCAAGTTTCTAATACAGGTTCTGGGGTAGATGGTGGAAACATTTAGCAAGATACAAAGAAAAATGAGTTGGGGTTATCCACAAATTTTTAATCTTAAACTACTAGTGCTGGCAATCTTAGGAGGATGATTAGATTTGTGGGATATTACGATAAGTTCAAACATAGGTATGTTTAGTGGGAAAACACTTATTCTTCACTCATGATGTCTTGTTCCATATGGATTGACGTCCATTAATGTAGTATTTGTGGCCTCTTGCTGCACCTGCCACCAACTCTCTCTTCTATGAAGCAGTGACTTTCTGATCGGTGAAGTTAAAAGAATGTGTACCCATCCCATCCTTGTGCTCTTAAAAGAAAGCTTCCTTCACACAACCGTCCTGATGTTCTCCTGCTTCTCTATAAGCAGAGCCTGGGGGTGGGGTTGAGGGTGCCTGGTCCAGGTCTCCAAAGTTAGTGAAGCTATTTAATTTGAGTTTGGCATTAGGAAGCTCTCTGTCCACAGATAATATCCAATACTAACTTTGTCAATTGTGGTAGAATAGTGGCCCCCCAAAGACGTTCATGTCCTACTCTTCTAGATCCTGTGAATATGTTAACCTTTTGTAGTAGTAAAAGGGACTTTACAGATGTGATTAGATTAAAGAACTTGAGATGGGAAATTTATCTTGGGTTATCAGACTGGCTAGAGGCAGGAGAGTTAGAGTCATAAAAGGAGAATGATGATGGAAGCAGAGGTCAGAGAGAATGAGAGGTTTGGAGAATCTGCACTGCTGACTTTGAAGACGGAGCCGAAGAAGGCCGTCAGCGTCTACAAGCTGGAAAAGGCAAGGAAACAGATTTTTCCCTCGAGCCCCCAGAAAAGATGCAGCCTTGCCAATACTTGATTTTAAGATTTCTGATCTCCAAATCTGTAAGATAATAAGTTTGTGTCTTGCTCTGACTGGTGTGCCTCAGTTGGTTGGCCATCATTCCTCAAAGTGAAACGCCAGTTCCTTTCCAGTCAGAGCACATGACTTAGGTTGCGGGTTCAGTTCCCCAGGCAACCAATTGATGTTTCTTTCTCACATCTATGTTTCTCCCTCTCTCTTTCTCACACCCTTCCCCCCTTTTTAAAAAATAAATAAAATCTTTTTTAAAATAAATACATTTGTTTTAAGACACTAAGCTTGTAATTTGTTACAACTGGAAACTAATACAGTAAGTAGTTACAGGGAACCATTCCACATGACATGGTGAATGCAGCCCGTCCCTGATTCAAAAAACCGATGGGGAGCCCCTGATTCAGCACACAGGACCCAAGCCCACAGATCGGTTTTCCCGTGGGGAATCAGGCCTGCATTGTACCTAGGCTGCTATGAGGCTTGCTTTTGCTAAAACTCTTTCACCCTGAACTGAGGCAGCAAATGTTTACTGCATATCCTAAATGCTAAACCTCCAAAGGACAAGTGTAACTAGTTCAACCACTTTTTCTTTTGCATTTGCAAATATCCTTTTCTTTGTAGTAATTAGTAACTTCCTCTTCTTTGTTATATGTAAAAGGTAACCACCTAAATGGAACCTATGCATAGTAAATGAGGACCATCCTCAATGTACTGTGCCCAGAAAAGCAATAGAAGCCTGTCCAAGCAGGGATCAGGGCCCTCTCTCATTCATAGAGTGGCCATGCTTTTCCTTTTGTCCACAGGACTTCTGCAGTTCGTGTGCATTTGTTGGTCGAAGCCACAACACATCGACCCTGCCGGCTGGGGTGTGCATCAAGTAGTGAAGATGATACTTGGTCTCTGGCTGCATTCTCTTTGATCTGGAAAAGAAGGGTGCAATTAATTACATCCTCTCAAAGATTACTGCAATGTGACTGTGATTTGATGGGAGAAACCTCCACATCCAGAGGGAAACATCCAATAAGCAGTAGAATTATATAGGTCTATGAATGATGAGAGAAGTTGAGTTAAAATAAAATAGATTTGAGAAACATTAACTTAAAATTGGTCATGTAAGTCCTAGGCAATGAATGAGATCAATCAGGGAGAAAATACAGAAGAAACAATAAAGAGGACCAAAGGTAGAGTGAGCCCAGGAAACACTCTTTAAAAAGGAGTGACAGATGAACAGAAGCCCAGAAGAAGTCTATGGAAGAATGGGCAGCAAGACAAAAGAACTAGGTAAGGAATGTCTCTGAAGCCAAGGCCTGGAAGAATTGCAAGATGGAGAGGGGTGCCATCAGAGTCAGAGACCACAAATAGGTCAAGTATTTCAAAGACTGAAAAGCAGTGACTGGATTTGGTGGCATAAAAGTGTTTGATGACTAATGATAGTAGTGTTAGTAGTAATAGATAGTGGTAGTAGAGATAGACACCAAATTACTAGGATCTGAAAGGCAGGTAAATATGGTGAATTGGCCTCTGGACTGGTTATTAGGAGTTTCAGACTATAGCTAGATAACATCAGGCAAATCACTGAACTATTCCAGGCTTTGGTTTTCTCCTCTACCAAACAAGAGAATTTGGCTGAGTCTGTGGTTTTCACGTAAATTCCTAAATAATACCCTCAACTTTATTTGCTTATAAATATCAGCTCATTTGCTTATAACAGCACATCTCAAATCCTACTCACATCATTTCACCAAACAATGAGAGTAGTATATGCATATGACACAGTTTTCAAAAAACTCAGTTTTGGAAGGGAGACAAACACGTAAATATATAACTGATGGTCAGGGTTGTTTTTGAAACAAAGCAAGGCATAAATTCAATGAACTATATGACAACATACCATGTGTTATATTAGAATTCTGCCCTGGCTGGCATAGCTCAGTGGATTGAGCGCAGGCCCCCAAAGGGTTCCCAGTTCAACCCATACCTGGGTTGCAGGCCAGGTCCCCAGTTGGGGGCACATGTGAGGCAACCACAGTTGATGCTTTTCTTCTGCTCTTTCTCCCTCCTTTCCACTCTGTCTAGAAATAAATAAAATCTTTTAAGAAAAGAATTCTGTATGAAATGAAATGAAGGATGTATAAACTCGTACAGATGAAGAAGTGATCAGTTTTGTCTGATAGATGTCAGGGTATATTTACCAACTGTCTGAGGTAGACACAATGTGCCTCAAAAATGGACATAATAACTACACCAAGGTATTTCCATGGTGATTAAAAACAGCAACAGGGTTGTGTGGCTCAGGGCACTGAGTGCTGGCCTGCAAACCAAAGAGTCACTGGTTCAATTCCCAGTCAGGGCGTATGTTTGGGTTGTGGGCCGGGTCCCCATTGCGGGATGTGTGAGAGGCAACCAGTCAGTGTATCTCTTGCTCATCAACCCTTCTCTCCTTCTCTTTCTCCCTCCCTTCCTCACTCTCTAAAAATAAATAAAATCTTTAAAAAAATAAGGACAAAAATAAAACAGGAGTTATCCTAAGCCAATGCTGATCATTTAACTTCCCTTCTAAGTAGTTTTGTTGTGATCTAACTGAATATTTGTGTACCAATAAATCCAAACTAAGTGTACTGTTTAATTGGTAAACAAAGGGGGACACATAAAAAATTAAATGCAAAAGTAATTTATTTACTTTTCTACCAGATCCAAAAGGAAACATTTATTCTTTATACATGCCATGTTCTGTTACATTTGCTCATCTAATACTTGGATATTATTGTTAGTATACACAAACCTGGGGGGAAAAAAGCCCTAAGACTGAAAATACCCCAATAAGCAAAGGGCAAGGAACGACTGAAGAAAGAGGCTGGTTACTCCAGTCCGCTAATTAACAGAGTTTAAGGGAAGCTTACATATAAGG